GGAAAGCTGCCAGTCAATGAGACGTCGAGAAAAATAGTATTGCCCGAGAATTTCTGTAATTTAGTTACATCGAAGGAAGGACTTATCCAAAAAGTGTTCCCCAATATCCGAATAAATTATTGGAATCACGATTGGCTCAGTGGACGAGCGATTCTCGCTGCCAAGAACAAAGATGTCTACCAGCTCAATCATGTAATCCAATCCAGCATAGAAACTGACGAAATTACATATAAGTCGATAGATACCGTTGTGGAGGCAGATGAAGCAGTTAATTACCCTACCGAATTTCTAAACTCACTTGATCTGCCTGGAATGCCACCACACATATTGAAATTAAAAATAGGTGTGCCGATTATCATGCTCCGGAATATAAAACAGCCGAAACTCTGCAACGGTACGCGACTCGCAGTCAAGAAATTGATGAACAACATAGTAGAAGCAACGATCATAACTGGTCCTTTCAAAGGTGAAAATGTCCTCATTCCTAGGATTCCTCTGATCCCGTTTGATACACCGTTCCAGTTCAAGAGATTTCCGCTTCCCATTCGTTTGGCGTTCGCAATGACCACTAAGAAAGCTCAAGGTCAATCTCTGGAGTTGTGTGGTCTAGATTTGGATGCAGATTGTTTTTCACACGGATAATTATATGTTGCGTGTTCCCGTGTCGGAAAACCAGATAGTCTTTATATTTACGCGGAGAATGGAGAAACGAAGAATATTGCATACCCACAAGAATTACAGAATTAAATGAATTTTAAAATTATTATTTTTTTTTTTTTTGACTTATTTCTTATGCGTTTTACCACAATATGCCACAGAGAAACGTGGCAGGGTACAGCTAGTAATATATATATATATATATAAGTCAGACCCAATGTCACGAGTCACATCGAAAATAGGATGATTGGGGTCTTTGGGTTGCGGCAGTGGCACCACTCTGTCCTAACTGACTCTTGCCGTATCAGAGACAAAACAAAGATCGAGCCAGTGCTCGAAGGAATATCGTACATCATTTACTTGAGACAGCAAAATGTCGAACAAGCCACCAATGAAATCATTTTGGGTAGAGGTTAGGAGGGTAGGCGCGGTATTGCTTGAGCACCAAATAGCGCCAGGGATGCTAAAATCACCTAGGACTACCAACTGTCTCTATCCAAAAATTTACTGGAAACCATCTGAATAACGGAACGGTGGTTCCAATAAGTACAAGTTCCGACAATGGGGGTATGCAGGAACAGGTAATAAAAATGGAGTTACCATTGATATATAGCTTCACACAGAGGAAGTTAACATCGTTGCATTCCCCGAAAGTTATTAATTCTGACGTGAGTGAGGAGTCTACCGCTATGAGGACTCCCACCACCACTCCTGATACTAAAAATATGCAGGAAGGGGGCCAGAAGTTTGTAGAGTAAATTGTGTTGCAGAGCTAGTTAGGGGCATTGATTTTGAAAGATGAAATATTCCTAGCGTAAGAAAATTTGAACTTTTCCACCATAACCTTTATTTTATCGGCTATGGTTTTGCCTTGTATAAAGGCGAAAACATCTTCCCAAAACAAATACAGGGTGCGGCACGAAAACTTGCTGATTTGTTTTTGGCGCCAAGCGGCGGGGAGTGGTCGGGTAAGGGTGGGGAGTGTCTCATGTTTTAGGGGACTTCCTGAAGTTTCGTCTACTCCACAGTCAGTCGACATCATGCATTGGACGAAAGAGCAGCACGCATTTGCCTGCGAGGCTTACTTTTCCAACGGTCGTTCCGTTATTGCCACTCAACTCAACATTCATCCTGAAGGTCGCGTACCTGGCCGGCAGTCTATTGTTTCGTGGGTGAAAACATTCAGGGAGAGCGGGAATGTGATAAAATTCCATCCAGCTCATCGGAGAATAACATTCGGCAAGCAATCGCAAAGATACCCATCGATATGCTTGAGAGTTCAGCTGAGCTTCGAAAATCGGGTATCTCAGTGCATTGAAAACGGCGGCCATCACTTGTCCGATGTAATCTTTAAAACTGTGTAATGAAAACTTCAGAATGTGTGTTACAAGAATAAAAAAAATTTGGAATGGTATGTCAACTACTTTTTTTTTATAACCTTCTAAAATCAGCAAGTTTTCTTGCAGCACTCTGTATATGTGTCGTAGGTGGAACCGCTGTAAGGGCTTTTGGCAAGTAAGCTTGGTTATCTGCAGTGACATTGCACTATGTGGAATTTGACCCGTTTTCGTGGTAAAAATTAAAATTTTTGAAATTATTAACATTTTTACTGCAGGCTTCTTGTATAATGATGGTTATGACTATAGGAAGGTATTTTAGAAAAGTGGGCGTGTCAACGCCCCTCTCCGCCCACAGAAATCGAAAAAAAATCGAATATTTGAAGCAATTTTCAAGTTTGAGACCCCAATTTTAAAACACAAGACAAATTTCCTATTTTAAATGTGTCCTGCAAATTTGGTTCAGATCGGATAATAAATATAGAAGTTATTTAAGAATAACATTTTTTTTGGTTTTATTATTCTATGTATTCATTTTCAACTTTATCATTGTCATTAATTTCATTATTATTATAAAAAATATGTATTGTCGTCGTCCCTAACGTCGATATCAGGTTTAACGGCTAAGAAAACCTTATATTCTGCGGAGTTTGATTGTTCCACAATATATTTCCGGAGGAATTGAACCTCCTTTGCTTACGCCACACTACGAGGAGTTCTGCTTTTCTAATAATTCAAATTACGCAAAAAAAAACGCAAAAAACGCACAATGTGACTATATATTTTGAATAAAAAATTGACAAACCTACAACTTGTATATGAACACTTACTGATACAATTTGAACCATTTTTTAAATCCTTTGAAAAGATTAACTTTCTTTCTAAAAGTGACAAGGGAACAGCACTTGCTAAATATACAAATTTTTAGAAAAACACGAACGCAACACGCAACATATTAGTATCAACACATAGTATTAACCTGAAGAATTAATATTCAGTTTGAATTTGGTTATTTATTGATTTTTTGTCAGAGATATGCCTATTTGAAACTGCACCGCAAAGTCACCCTTTAAGACAGCCCGTGGTGTTTGCTTGCAACAGCTGACTTTAACAGCTGTTATTTTAACATTGAACTGTTAAGTGAACATTTTTGCAATTTGATCATTTCTTAACATCATTGAAAATACGGAAATTTAAATACTCGCGAAAAATGAGTTTTGGCCACAAAAACGGGTAAAATTCCACATAGTGCATTGTCGGCAGGTATACCGGGCCTAACACCCTGAGCAGATACATTTATGTTAACAGGAATTTGAGGAGTCAATATTTGGGACCTCCAGGGGACAAAACAGATATCACCGAGCTCGCGCTCTAGGACTCTTGGAATTAATGCTGAGGTCGAGGGCTGTGCCGAGGAAAGCTGCTGCTAAGAGCCCGTTGCGGGTATTTGGGGTCTGTCTACGTGCTGCCCACCAATAGCAGTTTTTTTTTGTGCCAAGGAGACTCATTTAAACGCTTAAGGCTATTAAATTTGGCGCCAAGAACATTTTATGAGTTGTACGAAAACTCGATAAAAAGTCCTTAAAAAAGTTTTTGGTTTGTTGTATGAAAGACATCATCTCCCTTACCACATCGCGACAGGCCTCGCGGCAGTAAAGCAGGCCGATTGTTTTACTAACATCATCAACCGTCCGAGCTGCAAACACCAATACACTAGGCGTGCATGATGTTGTCTTACAGCCAGCAGCCGATGATCACCTGATTTATGGCCTTCTTGCAGTTTTTTACAAAACAGGCACTCATATAGGACATTATTATGACTTACCACAGTACTTTAACGTTTGTAGATAAAAAGAGGGAGCGATGGATAAGAGGAGCAAGATAAGAGGTGCGAGAACGAGAGAGCGTGAGAAACAAACAAAAGCAAAACGAATAAATCACAAAAAGGAATGCAAAATTTGCAAAAGCAAGCACTAGCTAGCTAGCAGCAAATCGAAATTGGAAAATAAAACCAATTACATAAATACACAAATCAGAATAGCAGGATGATGTTGTAAACAAAATATGTATAAGATTTTGGTTATTTGCAAACTTTAGCATAAATCGAGAGCGCAAGAAAAGAACACTTGGAATAATGAAAGAATGATATGATATTTTGTATATTGTATTAATTCTTAATGATCGAAGTGCAATTTGCAAGGGAATATAAACTTAGACGTGCCGAAGCTTCCTTCCCTGTTTTATATTAATTTACTTCCTACCAAAAAGGTTAAGGATTAATTGGCCAAACGGTTTAACACCATATCCAGTGAAAATTATCATTAATTAAATAATTAAATAATTAAATTAAATGCTTATAATAAAATAAATAAAATTGGTTATTGATGTCCAGTTATCTATCAGTTCTTGTTTAGGCAATTGATATATATCGATATATTTGAACTTGGAAAAAAATATTGTTAGGCACATATTGAGCATTTCAATAATGTGTACATGTAAATTTTCATTTTGAACAGTGTGCATTGCCAAACGCGTGTCCACTTAAAATTTGTTGGTTATTTTTTTTCCAGACGGTTGGAAGTGTCCTCCTTTTCATAGACTTGAAAGGCGTGAAAGTTCTTTATGCTTGCCACAGAGACTACTCTCTGGTGCGTTCCAAAGAGAAAGAGCAATAAAGTTTCTCTATCCATCCATCTAAATTTCCCTAAATATAGAGTTAATGGCATCACTTAAGCTATGTAGGATACCAATAAACTAAAACAAGAAAATAGGTACGATAAAATAGATGCGATTTCGATCTTAAAATTTAACTGGTCGTTAGTTGGACTTTAAATCTATATATATAAAAGAAAGTCGTGTCTGTTAAACCACATATAACTCAAGAACGGCAGAATAGATTTGAAAATTGGTATGGAGGTAGCTTAGAGCCAGGAGACAGACATAGGATACTTTTTATCCCGTTCGACAGGAAAGCGGAATATCCAACGCTGGTATACAAATAGCATTTACTACAAACCAATATATCAAGTTGTCGTTTCCTAACATTTCAATTGGAAACAATAAAATATATAAAGTGTAGGCATTTGTCTTTAAGGTGGTAAGTTGAAATATGTTAATTATGCATTTAAGGTTATAGTCCAAAAGGACGACTTGCGAATGAACATCATCATAAACAAGTGTATTCACAGAACTTAAGCGAAGAAAGACAAAATATAATAACAGGAAATGCCCTATTGAGACAACGCGTGAGGACACAAAGATCATTGGCATCATACGATCGATTCGCATTCCAATATGATCCCATTGAGAACTACAGTGATTATGAAAATTTAGATATTGGACCAATGACGACGATTTTGCAATGTGTTAAAATTCAAAAGAGAAACGGCTAGATTATGCTTCGCAAGTGGAAAAGTCAAACTGGATCCATTACTTATCAAATAAAAAAAAAAAAATGCATAATTTTTTAATCACCAAACGAAATGTTACATTAAACGAAGCCATGTGGTGTCGAAACGGAGTCGCCAGGTTTCCAAGTATAGTATATTAGGTTAGGTAGTTAGGTAGTTGTCGCTGCAAGCGCGTCATTTTAGTTTTTCACACGCAAAAAGTAGTTCGTAAGTTATAGCTTCGAAAACATGAAACAAAATAAAAAGAAAATACGGCATATTTTATAGTACTACTACGATGAAGCAAAAATGCATCTCAAGCCGCTAAACAAATTTGTGCAGTTTATGGACCTGACATAGTTTCCAACGATGGCTTGAACGTTTTCGTTCTGGTGTGGAGGTGGTCGAAGATGCGCTCCGGAAGGCCTGTCGTGGAAAATTGCGATAAAATCGCTGAATTGGTCGAAAGAGATCGACATAGTAGCAGCCGTTGCATCGGTCAAGAGCTGGGCATGAGTCATCAATAAACCATTTAAATCGCTTGTGAATCGCAACAAAATCGACCCATTTTAAAGTGTATGGTGACTGGCGATGAAAAGTGGATCACTTACGACAACGTAAGGCGCTAACGGTTGTGGTCGAAAATCGGTGTAGCGGCCCAGACGGTGGCCAAGCCTGTATTGACGGCCAGGAAGGCTCTTCTGTGTGTTTTGTGGGATTGGCAGGGAATCATCCACTATTAGCTGCTCCCCTATGGCCAAACGCTCAATTCGGAGCTGTACTGCCAACAACTGGACCGCTTGAAGGCAGCACTTATGCAGAAGAAGCCATCCTTGATCAACAGAGGGCGAATTGTCACACATCTTTGATGACGCGCCAAAAGTTCCGGGGAGTTCGGATGGGAGTTTTCTTTTGCATCCACCTTATAGTCCGGATCTCGCACCTAGTGATTAATACCTATTTCTGTCCATGGCGCACGCACTTGGTAGTCCAAGCCTGGATTGGACTGGCCAAGCCTGGATTGACGGCCAGGAAGGCTCTTCTGTGTGTTTTGTGGGATTGGCAGGGAATCATCCACTATTAGCTGCTCCCCTATGGCCAAACGCTCAATTCGGAGCTGTACTGCCAACAACTGGACCGCTTGAAGGCAGCACTTATGCAGAAGCCATCCTTGATCAACAGGGCGAATTGTCACACATCTTTGATGACGCGCCAAAAGTTCCGGGAGTTTGCATGGGAGTTTTCTTTTGCATCCACCTTATAGTCCGGATCTCGCACCTAGTGATTAATACCTATTTCTGTCCATGGCGCACGCACTTGGTAGTCCAAGCCTGGATTGGACTGGCCAAGCCTGGATTGACGGCCAGGAAGGCTCTTCTGTGTGTTTTGTGGGATTGGCAGGGAATCATCCACTATTAGCTGCTCCCCTATGGCCAAACGCTCAATTCGGAGCTGTACTGCCAACAACTGGACCGCTTGAAGGCAGCACTTATGCAGAAGAAGCCATCCTTGATCAACAGAGGGCGAATTGTCACACATCTTTGATGACGCGCCAAAAGTTCCGGGAGTTCGGATGGGAGTTTTCTTTTGCATCCACCTTATAGTCCGGATCTCGCACCTAGTGATTAATACCTATTTCTGTCCATGGCGCACGCACTTGGTAGTCCAAGCCTGGATTGGACTGGCCAAGCCTGGATTGACGGCCAGGAAGGCTCTTCTGTGTGTTTTGTGGGATTGGCAGGGAATCATCCACTATTAGCTGCTCCCCTATGGCCAAACGCTCAATTCGGAGCTGTACTGCCAACAACTGGACCGCTTGAAGGCAGCACTTATGCAGAAGCCATCCTTGATCAACAGGGCGAATTGTCACACATCTTTGATGACGCGCCAAAAGTTCCGGGAGTTTGCATGGGAGTTTTCTTTTGCATCCACCTTATAGTCCGGATCTCGCACCTAGTGATTAATACCTATTTCTGTCCATGGCGCACGCACTTGGTAGTCCAAGCCTGGATTGGACTGGCCAAGCCTGGATTGACGGCCAGGAAGGCTCTTCTGTGTGTTTTGTGGGATTGGCAGGGAATCATCCACTATTAGCTGCTCCCCTATGGCCAAACGCTCAATTCGGAGCTGTACTGCCAACAACTGGACCGCTTGAAGGCAGCACTTATGCAGAAGAAGCCATCCTTGATCAACAGAGGGCGAATTGTCACACATCTTTGATGACGCGCCAAAAGTTCCGGGAGTTCGGATGGGAGTTTTCTTTTGCATCCACCTTATAGTCCGGATCTCGCACCTAGTGATTAATACCTATTTCTGTCCATGGCGCACGCACTTGGTAGTCTAAAGTTGGCCACAGGGAAGCGAGTTTCAATGAGAGGGGAATTTTGAAGTTGGCATCTCGTTGGGAACGAATAATCCAACAAAACGGCTCATATATGACATAAATCGCAGTATTTTTACCACTTTTATAAACTATTGAAAATTCAATAAAAATACCGCAAAACTTTTTTTATCATATTCCCAGATCTTTAAAATTAATAAACCGCTTATTCTGACGCAGTCGGCAGAGCGAGAAAATATATATTTCTTAATTCTTATGTATGTAAACTCTCTTTTATTTTCTCTCTCCCTTATATTTTTGATCCTTATAACATTTTCAACTCCTATATTTTTAAACCCTTGCAGGGTATTATAATTTCAGTCAGAAGTTTCCAACGCAGTGAAGGAGGCACCTCCGACCATATAAAGTGTATATATTCTTGATCAGGATCAACAGCCGAGTCGATCTAGCCATGTACGTCTGTACGTTTCTACGCAAACTAGTCTCTCAGTTTTGAAGCTATGTGAATGAAACTGTAGTTGGCCTTCTATATACTGTCACTCGTATATATGTCAGAACGGGCCAGATCGGACGACTATATCATATAGCTGCCATAGGAATGATCGAAAAATTTTTACAAAAAAAATTTTAACTTTTTCAGTTTTCAATAGAATTGGATCAAATTTAAGATATATCCATTTTACTATACTCTACAATTTTGTGTAAAATTTTATGAAAATCTGACTACTATATCATATAGGAACGATCGAGAAATTAATACAATTAAATTTATAACTTTTTCAGTTTTCAGCTGATTTTCATTAAATTTGAGGTATAGCCATTTTATAATAGTCTTAAATTTTGTGTCAAATTTCATGAAAATCGGACGACTATGTCATATAGGTGCCATACAAAGGATTGATGTAGAGGAAAAATGCAAATCTGCGAATGTAAAACTGCAAATATAAAATGTATTGGTGAATGAAATGAAAGCAGGTATTATTTCATTGTTTTTTAACATTAATATATATATTTTATATTGCATGGATTCCTAGTCATTGAAGTTCTATCTGCAAGGGTATATAAACTTCGGCGTGCCGAAGTTAGCTTCCTTTCTTGTTTATTTTATTTTTTTTATTTATTTGTATATAATAATTGTGTATTATTTATTTGAAACAAAGAAAATGAAATTACTAAAAAATGATGTGTATCTAAGCATGGCCATACTTAGTACAATTTATGAAATAAATATTTTTATACCCTTGCAGGGTATTATAATTTCAGTCAGAAGTTTGCAACGCAGTGAAGGAGGCACCTCCGACTATATAAAGTATATATATTCTTGATCAGGATCAACAGCCGAGTCGATCTAGCCATGTCCGTCTGTCCGTCTGTCCGTTTCTACGCAAACTAGTCTCTCAGTTTTGAAGCTATCTGAATGAAACTGTAGTTGGCCTTCTATATACTGTCACTCGTATATAAGTCAGAACGGGCCAGATCGGACGACTATATCATATAGCTGCCATAGGAATGATCGAAAAATTTTTACAAAAAAAATTTTAACTTTTTCAGTTTTCAATAGAATTGGATCAAATTTAAGATATATCCATTTTACTATACTCTACAATTTTGTGTAAAATTTTATGAAAATCTGACTACTATATCATATAGCTCCCATAGGAACGATCGAGAAATTAATACAATTAAATTTATAACTTTTTCAGTTTTCAGCTGATTTTCATCAATTTTAAGGTATAGCCATTTTATAATAGTCTTAAATTTTGTGTCAAATTTCATGAAAATCGGACGACTATATCTTATACGTGCCATACAAACGATCGTTAGATGTGGAGCAAAAATGCAAATCTGTGACTGTAAAACTGCAAATATAATATGTATAGGTGAATGAAATGAAAGCAGGTATTACTTCATTGTTTTTTAACACAAATATATATAATGTATATTGTATGGATTCCTAGTCATAGAAGTTCTATCTGCAAGGGTATATAAACTTCGGCGAGCCGAAGTTAGCTTCCTTTCTTGTTAAATTAAATTCTAGTCCCGGTCGGCCGCGACATTTTAGAAGCCGAGAATTTAAATTAAATTTAATAATACTAGAAGAAGAAGAATATAATGTGTAAGACAGAACCCATACATAACATATACATACTTATATATAGAGATTTAAATTGTTCCTGTAATAAATGTAAGTATATTGTCTGAATTCAGCGTCATACTCAATTTCTAATGATAATACTACGAATCGGTTTGTATGGAAGGCAATAGAGGGCATGGTCGCACAGATTCAAAATTTTTTTTTACATTAGTCTTTCTAAAAAAAAAAAGAATGTGCAACTTTTTAGGTCTCTAACTCTATTTTTAGAATTTATGCCAAAAAGATTGTCTTCTGGACCACAGTGCAATGATAAGATTACTTTCTGTAAATTGTTTTACTGACTGGTAAATGTGCTTTTACTTATCAATTATGTGCCATATAAAAGATACACAAGAAAGTAAGCTTTGACACGTCGAAGTTTGTATGCCCTTGAAGATTGCAATTCAATCATTAATAATTAATATAATATAAATTCAAAACATCAAAGTAATTCATACTTTAGCTACATTTACCGATAACATATAGTGAAGTGTTTCTTTCTTTTAAGTCGAACTAATGTCCCGTCAGTTGACTAAGGACAACGCTAAGTTGAATTAATAAAACGAATATTCCGCTTCACGTCTTTATTCA